TATTGAGTTTTATAAAATCATAACCCAACTAACAACAATTAAGATGCTAGAATTGAATATAGAGGATCTTTAAAAACAGGCAGTTGTCCAGTACTAGAGAAAGATTCATCCTTATAATTCCCAAAATATAATTTGTGTGATCAGGAGCTTCATCAAAATCTTCAAAACATTGTACTATGTGCAGTTTTACAGTTTTATTTTAGCATTTATCTATTTTCTAACCGGATTAAGACATTTGCAGGCATTGATATTCTGACATATACAATGCATTTGTACTTAAACTGTACTAAACAAAGTTTTTTGCTATAAATGTCTGCACATTTATAGGAGGAATATTTCAGAAATATTTCTTCTTTTTATGATACCTTATTAAAATGCAGTCCTGCCATCATAGACCTAAATGTAAATGCTAAAACTATAAAATTTCTAGAAGAAAATATAGGAGAAAAGTTTTGTAACCTTGAGATAGGCAAATATTTCTTATATAGGACACACAAAGCATGAATCATTACGGAAAAAAATTGATTAATTGGATTTGACGAAATGAAAAACTTTTGTTCATCAGGTACATTGTTAAAAATAAAATGAAAAGGCAACCATACTGGGCGAAAATATTTGCAAAACACATATTGATAAAGAACCTGGGTCCAGAATATACAAAGAACTACAATTCAATAATGAGACCAAAAAAGGGGAAGCTATACTAATCGCAAAAAGCTCAGAAGGAGTTCAGCATCACTAGTTCCCAGGGAAATGAAAATGAAAACCACAATGAGATACCAGAACACTCTCACAAGAATGAGTTAAATAAAAAGCCTGAAACTACCAAGAGTTTGGGGGATGTATATAAATTAGAACTGTCATACACTGGTGATGGGAATTTTAAATGGTATAACCACTTTGGAAAACAGTTTGACAGTTTCTCATAAACTTAAATACATATTAACTATATGACCGACCAATTCCTTTCCTAGGTGTTACCCAAAAGAAATGAAAACATATGTCCATGCAAAATTTGTACAAGCATATTCATGGGTTTTATTCATATAGCTCAAAACTGGAAAAACACAAATGTCTAACTACAGATAAAAGGATAAACCAAAAAAGGAATGAACTACTAATACAGACAAAAACAAAGATGAATTTCAAAAACATTATGCTGAGCAAAAGAAGCCAGACAGAAAAGAATATATGCTCCATGATCCCATTTATATGAAATTTTAGGACAGGCAAAACTTAAGCATAGAAGTGGTTCTCAGTTGGGGAAATTTTGCCCTCCCCTTCCCTGGACAATGTTGGAGACACTTTTGGTTGTCACAACTTGGAGGATGGGGGAGGGGTGGTTGCTACTGGCATCTAGTGGACAGAGAGGCCAGGGATGCTGTTAAACATTCTAGATTGCACAGGACAGTAGCCACAACAAAGAATTATCAGACCCAACATTTCAATAGTACCCAGGCCCAGGTTGAGAAATCCTGTTCTATAATGATCAGTGATGGTCTAAAGGTGGGACTGGGGATAGCGGAGGCAAAGAAATATGACGGAATTCTGTGGACAATAAAACCATTGTATATTTTAATTGTAGTAGTGATTCACTTTTCAAAACTCCTCAAACTGTACACTTAAAATGTACATTTTATTGTATGCAATTTTACATCAAAGTTGATGGTAAAAATTATATTGCCTGTTAAACAATATAAAGTTATACAAAACAGCTTAATCCAATTCTTGCTTTTTAAAATATATACATAGAAAAGACATGAAAGGCAAATACCATTGGCAGGATGATGGATAAGTTTGATTTTTTTCTCTATTGCTCATTTGCTTTGCATTAACTTGAAAACATATTATAGATATATCTATATCTCCAGTACTTAAAACATATCCAAATAATGAAGATGATAGAAAAGCACAGGTGCACACGAATATCTGACTGTAGTTAATATATTTTGATCACAAGACTTGGAATTTCAAGAAACTATAAAGATGGATAATGCAAAGGCATTGAGAAGTCAATTTTTACTCTGTTACACTGCTAAAACATTTAAAGAGTTAAATTATAAATATAACTATTTCCATACAAAAAGTTGTTGTTTTTTGAGGAAGATTAGCCCTGAGCTAACATCTGCCACCAATCCTCCTCTTTTTTGCTGAGGAAGACTGCACCTGAGCTAACATCTGTGCCCATCTTCCTCTACTTTATATGTGGGATGCCTACCACAGCATGGGTTGACAAGCGGTGCGTAGGTCCGCACCCGGGATCCGAACCGGCAAACCCTGGGCCGCCGAAGCAGAACGTGTGAACCTAACCGCTGCGCCAACGGGCTGGCCCCTACAAAAAGTTTTTAAGAGAAATTTTCACTATAAACAATGATATCAAACCGTAATAAGGCAGGCTGAAAGGTTAAGAAAGTCTTTTAGACTAAACAGAATAAGGAATAACCCATTTCATTATATCAATAGAGTAGAAAAATAGAGCAGATGCAATTCAGTTATGTTCAACAATAGGCCAGGGAGTGTACAAAGTGTGAAGAATATTAAAGATGTCCTTCAAGAAGTGACTATCTAATGGAGAAAAATAATTTTGTCAACAAATCAAAACAGAGTTAAAGGCTATGGCTGAGGTTTGAAAGTAGCACAATTAAAGAACCAGCCAACTACCTAAGCATGGAGAGTGTGGGAAGCGCTTACAAAGATGCCATTTGAGGCGGGTCTGAGGAAGTAGTACAGCTTGTCAGGTGAAAATCATTATTAGATAATTTAGAAATCTTCAAACAAACAAAAAAGCCCAACCACATCACAATTTTGTTACACTGCTGTTACATTTTACAGTCTTAAAGGCCAGCAATGAGAAAATCTCTTCCTAAGAAATTATCCTACACATTGAGTAAGCAAGTTATACCTACTGAGAAAATTCCACATCCAAGAGGGAAATCCGCTTAGGATTCACCTTGCTAGAAAATGCTCTCTGCACTTTCACTACATCTAAGTTCGGCAATGTAAGTCTCTGGCACAATCCAAAAGTATAGACACAAAAAAATAACCATTTAGTATACAATTTTAAAATTGTATATTTAACATTTGTCAGTAAATTCCGGTTGGCCTCATATAACACACTAAAACATCTCATACCATCAGTAAAGGAAAATCCAAGCTGCCTCCCAAAAGAGGATACTGGGAATCCAGTATACTTCCTGATGGCCGTACGTTTCCAAGCCATAAAAACGCTTATAAAATACGATGAATGGAGTAAACGATTACTCTATACTGACAAAAATGATTATAACAAGGTAAAAAAGTAAATTCCTAACTTCTGCAGAGAAAAAAAGCCTGCGAGGTGGTGGGAGCACGAGACAGACTACAGGTAGAATTTCCTGCCCTGCTCCTCAGATTTCCTGTAATTTTGGAAACTACTGAAATTAAGACACCGAAATTGAATTAATTTTATTTAAACAGAACATATTTTATGCAACAGAAAACCCAATGTTAGAGTAAGAAAGTCATCCCAAAGACAAAGAGTCTTTACTGGATCTGGCTTTGCGCAGAGAGCAACAACACTTGCTAGTCTTTACTCTCTCTTGACTTTGAGTCAAAGAATTACTGCGAGCTTTTTAAGAGGCACTATTTCCTGGTAGTGGTGATTCAGGAGATTGGAGGAAAACGGAAAAAGATGAAAGCGATAAGCCAGTTTGCAAGCCTTCTGGAGTCCCGTAAAAGCCAGTGAACTAGAAACCCTGGATATTTTATAGATACCGACACCAATAAGGGAGCCAGGAGAAAGTGCAACTGCAGCCAAGGGTTGGAGGCAGGCAGACAGAACAGTCACTGCCAAATACTTTTGCGTCCACCGCAAAGACCCCCACCCTCTCCAACTCTCTCCCTCTAAAACGTTCCTAATACTCAGTACCCGCCCAGAAATAAACCCTCCCCCACTATCCCAACCACCCTGCCCGAGTGACAGGCTGCGTTCACTTACTGAGCTGTCCCCCGCCCGACGTCGTACTCGGCTCCCGACCTCCTGCGCCTCCCACGCCGGCTGCTCCAGGGATCCCCGGAGCCCCCATCCCCGGCGGGGTCCCACTCTGCCTCTCGAAGTTGCCAGGATTGGAGAAGTAGTCGCGCAGCCGAGGCAGCTCGCGGCCGCTCTCTAACAGCTCGGTGTGCAGCTCCAGGGCGGTCAGCAAGTACTGATCGCGCAACAGCTGAGCCGCGATCGCATCAATGGACAATCGGCCCGGGGTCTCCCCGCCGCCCCCCAGGGCCACCGCAGCTGCCGCCGCCTCCCCAGAGAGCCCTGACCGCGCACTGCTCCCTAAGGCCACGGGATCCTGGGGCGATAGCGAGTCTGCAGAGCCAGGATCTAGGCCGCCCCCGGAACCCAGCCGAAGTCCTGCCCGCCGCTCCTCGGTCGCCGCTACCTCATCGTCGTCCTCGTCTGAATCGCTGAGGAACGGATTCACGCCGCCACCACCACTGCCACTACCTCCAGGCGCCATCGCCGCCATCTTATTCTGTCAGGAGTATGGTCGCCTCCCTGGCTGGCTGACAGGCCGAAGCCTGAATCCCCCCTAAGCCTCAGCAGCCACTGCACACCTCCACAGCCCTGGCCTGGCCACGTCCCGTCTGCCCTCCCGGAGACCAGGCGTAGGCTGGGAGGCAGAACCTCCGGATGCAGCAGCACCCGCTGCCTCAGGCGCTGCTGCACCAGCAGCCGGGCTCTGCAGGCGTCTTCCTGGTCTCTAGTCTCGCGAGAAATGGCGCGCGTCCTGCCCCTCTCCCGCCCCAGCTCCGCCCCAGCCACGCCCCAGCCCCGCCCGTTCTCAACACCAGCAAGCAAAGACGGAGGGCCCAGCTCCACGCTCCAAGGCAAAACCCCGCCTCCACTCCTGTTTGATTGGCTGAGGGAGGAGGGAGGGGGCTGGCGTTCCGGAGGACTGGACTTGGGATTATCGCGATAGCAGCCGCTGGGCAGGTAGGCGTCACGGCGTACCGCGGTTTCCTTGGAGCGGTTATGAAGGTGGTTTAGCAACATTCTCTTGGCTATCCTTTCAGGGGTCAGGGGGTAACTCTCCCTGAGAGCGGGATCCTGTCTTCGCGCCCAGAAGGCTTCATTCTCGAGATAAGGCGTGACCCTGAGAAGCCCCAGGTAAAGCCCGGGGACCAGTGCACAGAGGCGCGGTGGCACCGAAACTGACCTCATTCCCGCGGGCGCGCGGTGCCCTAGCGCGCTTCACTTTCTCTTGCTGTTTGCTGCCAGTTGGTGACATTTCTCCGCACGTGTAGCAGGTGCCCAGGGTAGGAGTCAGAATTTAGCTTCCATTCTCTTCTTTCCCTTCCCGGCCCTGTGCCTGCTCGCCCTGGAGGCCTGGCGACAGCATTGGCTTCCTGCGCTTTGGGAGAGCGCCTTCTGGGCGCCGAGTTAATGCTCTAAAAGGGCGGGGCGGGCGGGGCGGGGTGGCGTGGGGTCTGGGAGGTGGAGAGAATAAATGCAAAATGGGACTCTGAGGTTTGGATTTGTTTGGATCTGTGAATACCCTGATAGCCTCAACTTGGATAACAGACCATTAGGGGCTCAGTAAACACTTAGTATTTAATATACAATTTGCACAACAGGGACCTTTCAAAGTATCAAATGCAGTTCCATCGGTAGAGAGATACGTAAGCTTAAGCCTAAAGACGTTCAATGACCTGGTCAAGTCAATTCCACCAATAAGTATAAAAGGAACCAAAATCGGTTCTCTTATGTCCAAAGCTATTCTTATGCCTTCCAGCCTTTCTGACTTGTCCATTTAGGCTGGAATTAAGGTATTGACCGTGGAACCTTATTTTAAAACTTGGTTGCTTTAGACAGTTTTGATTGCCTTTTTCAAACGTTAGCACATATAGTAAGTATACTAAGTTTGGAAGTTCAACATTTATCATTTATGTCATTCCTTGATTACATCCGGGCTGGTAAAGGGAATGTTACTATCTGGTCAACAGTACTAGCGTGCTATTCCTAAGAGCTTCTATTTTCTTCACACATAAATTGTCACTTTTGCAAGAAAGATTTACTTTCTTTCTGTATAGCTTTCTTTAAGCACCAAAATAAATAGGTAGTAGTAATTATGTTATCAGGTAAGTTACATTTACATTGAAGCCGTAAAGTATCTCTTTTAGCTCTGTGGAAAGTAAAAATAGAGCATTCTTATATAACATAGGTCAGGTTATTGGTTTACCTGTAAAGAGATGCCAACAGTTAAGTGCGGGCTTTCATTTCAGTTTACCCAGGCTCAGTAAACTAAAATTTTCATTTTAATGAGGCTTGGGTTTTTTGTTTTGTTTCTGTGAGAAATTTTTTTGGGCATTGTTAATACTAAGAATTTGAAATATTTTTTATAAAACATTAGCTCCTAATGTTGGAATTCTAAATATTTTTCTGTGCTGTATCTTGAAGAAAAACATGAAAAAAAATCCCTGATCTTAGGAATATAGTGTAAAATAGCCAATGGTGTGTCCTGTTACATATTTCTTAGCAAAAAGGATTGCTGATCCTTATTGTAATTGAATTTACCAGAGAGATTGAAAATGGAACCAATTTCTGGAATGGAGGAATGGGAGGGATTAGTGAATGGCATGGAAAGGGCATGGTTAGAAATGGATTGCTTATATACAATATTTTCATGTCTGTAATGGGGAGTTTTAGAAAAATCCTGCACTCAGGGTCCCTGAAGAGGATTGTGATTATCAGGTAGAAGAGCCTAAAGTTCACATCCCAGTTCTACCAATTATTTGCTGTGAGACCTTAAAAAAGTTACTTAACTTCTCTCAGCCTCGCTCCCATTCATCTGTCAAGGGGATAATGAAAGGATACAGAATTAGGAATGTGCTTGTCACAGTGCTGGTACCTAGTACACAAGAAATGGTTATTATAGTCAGTTATTAATTAATGCAATATTAGTATATATTGAGAATCTTTGACAGGTTTTTAAAAATAAAACAAATATCAACTGTTTAGCAGCTAAAGTCAGAAAAGACAATTAAGTTAGTAGGGTCTAAAGGGAATATCTTTAATTTAGGGTCTGACTTCTAAAACGTAAGTTGAAAATAGATTTAAAATATGTTTCCTCAGGGGCTGGCCCAGTGGCACAGCGGTTAAGTGTGCACATTCTGCTTCAGTGGCCCGGGGTTGGCCGGTTTGGATCCCGGGTACGGACATGGCACCGCTTGGCAAGCTATGCTGTGCAGGCTTCCCACATATAAAGTAGAGGAAGATGGGCATGGATGTTAGCTCAGGGCCAGTCTTCCTCAACAAAAAAGAGGAGAATTGGCAGCAGTTAGCTCAGGGCTAATCTTCCTCAAAAAAAAAAATTAAAAAAAAATTAAAATATGTTTCCTCAGAGAGTTGTAAGAAGTTCCATGTAGAAGTTCTTCCATCATTGGCTTCCTATATGAATGTGTAGTTTCCTGATTCTACTTCACAGCCTATAATCATGGACTTGTTTATGTGACCTTCCAAGCCAATAACAATTCAACTGGCTGGGCTTCTCAGTAAGTACTTTTCTTTTCCACAATGCATAGAGGTTTACTTATCAATTAAAAATGTTGAAGTAACACATACTAGAATATTAATAGTTGCTGATATCTACTTATAGTAATTTATTATTAACATTGTTGCGAATTGTTCTTTCTACTTAGCAAGATTTGCATTAATCTAGGTCTTTACAGCTAATGTTTCATTAAATAATCAGGTTAATCATTAAAGTTTGTATCTTAGTGATGAAAATGTAAAAGATTGCTTTTCCCCCCAAGTACGTCAATCATTTTAATCAAAATAAAAAATTATTTGTGGCCTTAATAGCTTTAAAATAACCACAAGTAACCTTTTAAATGCAAGTTTTTGGTTGATTTGAAGTTTTAGAAATATCTAATTTTTTATTGTTTTTCAGGGTGTAGTAAACATTCCATAGGTATAAGCTAAATAAATTTTATTGGTACATACATATGTGTCTTTTAAAATTTTTAGTAGTTAGGGGCTGGCCCGGTGGTGTAATGGCTAAGTTCACATGCTCTGCTTTGGTGGCCTGGGATTCATAGGTTCAGATCCCAGGTGCAGACCTACACACTGCTCATCAAGCCATGCTGTGGCAGCATCCCACATACAAAATAGAGGAAGATGGGCACAGATGTTAGCTCAGGGTCAATCTTCCTCAAGCAAAAAGGAAGATTGGCAATAGATATTAGCTCAGGGCCAATCTTCCTCATCAAAAAAAAAAAACAAAGAAAAGAAAAGAAAAAATATTTTTAGTACTTATTCATTTATTTTGGAGATTTCCAAATGATTCAACCATGACAAAGTTTTCTTTTGCAATAAATCTGAATAAAATGTGATTCTCCTTAAAGACAAATCTTAAGTAATAATATTGCTTATATACATGTACTTGACAATAATAAAATAAGTAGGGTGTGAAAGATAATATTTTGGAATCAGTATCCTGAATCTTCACAGTTCTTGTGTATGTTCTGGAGGAATAAAAAGAGAAGCAAGGTAGCCTCTAGTGGCTATAGTGCATATTGCATGTTCCTTTGAAATGATCATCTTAAATAATTTATTCACCAAACCTTTGAGTCCTTACTAAGTGCCAGGACTGTGATGAGTGCTGGAGAACCCCTATCTTGCTGTCATGGGATCATGGTTAAGTGATGAGAGACTGTAATCCAAATAGTCAAAGACATTGCTGTGTAATTATAAACTGAAGTAAAGGTTTTAGTTTCTGATTTGGACTGTGTAGTTCCTGAGGAAGTGATCCTTGAAAGTGCAGGGGGATGTTATGAGACAGTGGGGTGAAAGAGGGTGGAGGACAGGTTGGAAGTGCATTGTATAGAGAGGAGTCGTACCTATGAAGGTCTTGTAGCAATAAGAAGCATGGGATACTTGAAGAAATAAAAGAAGGCCAGCGTGGTGAGATGCCATAAAGCAAGGGGGAGTCTGTGAGACAAGGCTAGAAAGGGAGGCAGTGTTAACACCTTGTTAGTCATCTTAAGGATTTTAAGTCTTGATTAGGAAGGGGGAAAGGCACTGAAGGGTTTTATACAAGGGGTGAGATGTTCAGATTTGCATTTTGAAAAGAGCAAAACAAAAAAGTAATACATGGCTACTCAGCAGAAGAATAGGGTATAGAGAATGACTCCTAGTTCTCTGATTTGCGTACCTGGGTGGAAGGTGGTGCTGTCTCATGAGATTGTGAACACTAGGGAATTAGGAGGGTTACCACCTAAACAAGACTCATGGGGGGATATCATGAGTTTGATTTTAAACATATTCAGTTGTGTTTATTTGGAATATCCAAGTGGGTGTGCTGAGGTTGTAGTTACATATGTGGATTTGAAGCTATAATTTCTTGAGACTTTTGCATATAGATGATAACTGAAGCCAAGGGTATGATTAAAAATGCCTAGACAGAAAGTATAGAGTGAGAAGAGAAGAGGGCTGAGGACCAAGTTTTGAGTCACTCCAAAACTCAGCGACCAGATAGAGACCATTCCATGTCAGAGAAGTAGGAGGAAAACTAAAGGAGTAATGTTCACAGAAACCAAGAAATGAGAATTGTTTAAAAAAGAAGACATGGTTAACAAAGACAAATTGAATGGATAAGCCATGGAAGATGAAGACTAAAAAATAACCATTGGAGTTTGTAGTGTTGGCTACTTTAGTGAAAGCTTTCTCTCTGATGTAATGGAAACAAATGCTCAGTATAAGTTGTTGGACAATTAAGTGGTCAAGAAAAAAGAGATCATATTCAGTGTTTTGAAGAAATTGGCTGTGTTGGGGAGAAAAGGGCAGTCAATGCTTTTACAGTTTTTTTCATTAATTCTTATATTTGCGAGATGTATCATTGTCATAGATGTGATAATTCATTTTCAATGCTGTATGGTATTTCATTATGGATAAACAATGTGTCTGTTCCCTATTGTTAGATATTGTTTCCAATTTTTATTGTTACAAATAGCAAAAGCTGAGTTTTGAATTTAAAGTTTTTTACCTGTATTTGCATCTGATGTGGAATTTATCTTAATAAATTCTAAAGTGGTAACTGTACTATTACTTCTGTCAGTTGGTTAAAAACATAAAATTAGATCTTTAATTCACACCATATACAAATATATTCTAAATAATGATAGGTGAAAAGCAAAAATTTAGAACTGTTAGAATTGAGTTCTAATTTAAAACTATTCTTATGTGACATAAGAACAAGGGAAGTCTCTTATACAAGACACAAAAACTTTAGTCCAGAAAGGATAAGTTTGATGAATTATGCTGTATTAACATTATAAAACTTCTATTTAACAAAAGGCACCTAAAACAAATGTATATTTAATATGTATATCTAGATATATGTAGATACACACATATTTAATTATAATGTATGCGTTAAAGATAAAAGGCCAACAACCCTAACCATATTTGATCAAAGGATATGAATGCACAATTGAAAGGATAGGAAACCCAATTGACCAATAAAAACGTGAAAAGATGTTCATCCTCGCTACTAATCGGGCAAATAGACACTCGACAACAGGATGCCATTTCATCCTGTTTAGACTGGCATAAGGTAAGTACGACAACACCAGGCGATTCTGAGGATTTGGAGATAATAGGGACACTCATACATTGCTGGTGGGCATCTGAATTGTTATGGACACTTTGCTACTACCTTATAAAGTTGAAAGTACCATTTATTCCAGCAATTCCACTTGATAGAGATGGCTTTCAGACTTATTTGTACATAAAATAGTTCAAAATACATTTTTTACTACAATTTGCTATATTCGTGGATGCACATACATGCATGTACACACATAGGGAAAAATTAAAATACTCTTTCAAAAGAATTGTTTGCCTTACTACTTCTGAGGTATTTTATTGTGATATATTCTCTATCGTCTCCTATTCTATTCTATTTCATTTTTTAAAAAAAGGAAAGAAGGCTAATTGCAATCCACCAAAAATAATTTTGTGATGGGTCATCATTCCACTGATTGTCATTATGAAAACCTCCCAATTTTACCATAAGAGATATGCTTAATTGCAGCATTCTTTGCAGTAGTGACAATTGGGGACAATGTCTATCAGCAAGATAAGTTCAAATAAATTGTAGTATAGTTATATAATAGAATATATGTTTAAGTGTTCGAGATAATTCAAAGAAAGAATGCTTTGCATCTATTCTGATACAAATTAGTTTATAAGTAGGATGGGGAAAGCAAGAGTGGCAATGTTGATGATTATAATATTAATCAAACCTTGTAGAATGACAGATGGTTTTTAACCACACAGTTGACTGAGTTTACAATATATACTCTCTGTGCAGAAGAATTTCAAGTAATTTATGTGGATACTTCATGCTCTCAGTAGGTGGAGCATAACTCCTCACTCCTTAAGTATTGGTTGCACGTAGGGACTTCCTACCAAAGAGTACAGTATGAGAGAGGGAGGGAAACCATTGACTTTACACTGGAGAAACCTGACAAACACTACCTTAGCCAAGTGGTCAAGTTTAATCTCAGTAGCGATGAGTCAAGTTGATAGTATACATCCTTAATATGATGTGATGAAAATGGCACTTTACACATGTAGTTTTCCTCTCCACAATCTATAACCCCATTCTAATCATTAGAAAAACGTCAGAAAAATTCCAATAGAAGAGCATCCTACAGTATACCTGACCAGTACTCCTCAAAACTCACAAGGTCATCAAAACAAGCAAAGTCTGAGAAATTGTCACGGCCGAGAGATGCCTAAGGAGACATGACGAGTAACTGTACTGAGGTATCTGGGAACAGATAAAGGACCTTAGAAATGAAGGAAAAAATTTGAATTCTTTTCAAGTGTGTAGCTGGGCATGAATCATCTAAATAGATGACAACCTCTGTTGATCTACTAGCCATGAGGAAATTTGAAAATTAATTCTTATATGGCATTTTGTAAAGTCACATATAGTGTTCAATTAAAAGTGTCATGAATCGTGATGAAAAAGATATGCAGCCTAAAATAATAAATAAGAAGAAACAAATCAACTAGTGTTAATTACATGGCTTAATAGTTTACCTGATCATCTTCTCTCGTGTGCAGGTCTCAACTACTTTCTTACAGTTTTGACTGGCAATATTCACTCTTCACATGGCAGATTTCTCTATTTTTATTAACTATCATAAGTAATTAAGAACATAATCTCTAGATGACATCACAGAAAATGGCAGAGTATAGCACTAAAAGGGTCAGTCTCTCTACTGAAACAAGCAGAAGTTCTCAATAACAGAATCAGCTTCTTTGGAACTCTAGTATCTGATTGAACATTTGCAGCAACCAAAGGACAGCTTAATGAAGAAAAGGGCAGCTGAATTTTGGTAAGAGCACTGTGGCATTTTCACCCACTGGATTGCATCTTCGTTTACTAGTGTGGCTTGGCAGCAGCTGTGGGGACTATGGCCTGCATTCCTGATGTGGCTTACTGGTGTTTATTGTGGATCTTGTTCTTAAAATACCATGG